ATCATCCTCATCATCATCATCATCATCAGCAGCATAATCATCATCAGCAGCAGCAACAGCACCATCATCAGCATCATCATCATCAGAAGCAGCATTTCTATCACCCTAATCATCATCATCATCAGCAGCATCATCATCATAATCAGCATATCAGCATGAGAATCATCATCTGCAACATCAGCATCATCATCATCATCCGCAGCATAATCAGCGTCATCAGCATCAGCATCATCATCATCATCCTCAGCATCATCAGTAGCAGCAGCAGCAGCATCCGCATCAGCATCATCATCATCAGCAGCAGCATCAGCATCATCATCATCAACATCGGCATCATCATCAGCATCAGCATCAGCATCACAATCAGCATCAGCATATGCCTCATCATTATTGGCATTGTCATCATCATTTTTATCGCCCTCCTCGTCCTCATCCTCGTCCGCTTCCTCCTCCTCATCATCGTCCTCCTCCTCCTCCTCGTCCTCCTCCGTCTCCGTCTCCTCCTCCTCCTCGTCCTCTTCCTCCTCCTCCTCCTCCTCCTCGTCATCATCATCCTCCTTTTCCTCATCCTGCTCCTCCTCCTCCTCCTCCTCTCCTTCCTCCTCCTCCTCTTCCTCCTTATCCTCCTCCTCCTCCTCCTCGCCCTCCTCCTCTTCCTCGTCCTCATCCTTCTCCTCCTCCTCCTCCACATCCTCCTCCTCCACTTCTTCATCATCACCAGCATCAGCAGCAGCAGCATCGCCATCGTCCTCCTCATCCTCCTCCTTCTCCTCCTCCTCCTCCTCCTCCTCCTCCTCATCCTCCTCCTCCTCCTCATCCTCCTCCTTATCATCATCAGCATTATCAGCATCAGCAGCATCATCATCAGCATCATCATCATCAGCAGCATCATCGTCACTATCTATCAGCATCGTCGTCATCAGCATCGTCGTCATCCGCATTTTCATCAGCATCATCATCATCATCATCATCATCATCATCATCATCATCATCAGCATCAGCATCGTCAGCAGCACCATCATCATCAGCATCACCATCATCAGCATCATCATCAGCATCGTCATAATCGTCAGCATCATCATCATCAGCAGCAGCATCAGCCTCAGCATCGTCATCATCGTCATCAGCATCATCATTATCAACATCAGCATCGTCATCGTCATCGTCAACAACATCATCATCATCATCATCATCATCATCATCATCATCAGCAGCAGCATCATCATCAGCATCAGCATCATCATCGTCATCATCGTCTTCATCGTGAGCAGCAGCAGCATCATCAGCAGCATCGTCAGCATCATCCTCATCATCCTCATCATCAGCATCAACATCATCATTACCATCATCAGCATCCCCCCCTACTCATCCTCCTCCTCCTACTCCTCCTCCTCCTCCTCCTCCTCCTCCTCCTCCACCTCCTCGTCATGCTCCTCGTCCTCCTCGCCCTCATCGTCCTCCTTGTCCGCCTCGTCCTCCTCGTCCCTCTCCTCCTCATCATCATCATATTCCTCCTCCCCCTCCTCTTCCTCCTCCTCCTCCTCCTCCTCCTCATCCTCATCATCATCATCCTCATCCTGATCCTCGATCATCATCATCATCCTCATCTCCCTCGCCTCCTCCTCCTCCTCCTCCTGCTCCTCCTCCTCCTCCTCCCCCTCCTCCTGAAGAGCTGCACGGGAAGTCACGGTGACGGGCCCGTCCCCCTGACGCCCCAGGAGCAAGAACAAAACGCAAGACAGAGAGGGCCCACTTCACGGACAGGCTGTCCCTCCTCGCATGTCTGGCCACCGCCCTGCAGCACGCGCCCCGCGAAGCCGTTTTGCCCACCTGCTTTCACCAACGTCGGCCGTGGGCCGCAGCCGCAGCCGCGGCCGTGGGCCAGGGCGGCGGGGGGGATCAGAGGTTGAGGAGGGGACTGCATGAGGGGCAGCGCGCGAGGGCCGGCGATGCCGCCGAAGCCCCCTGAGCGAACCCCTCCCGGGGATCCCTGGGGGTGCGTCGGCTGTGTCGGCAACCCTCGCCCTCCCCTCTCCTGGCCTCCTCCGCCGTGCCTGGTGCTCCCCCTGGCTCCTCCTCCTCCTCCTCCTCCTCCTCCTCCTCCTCCTCCTCCTCCTCCTCCTCCTCCTCCTCCTCCTCTCCTCCTTCCTCCTCTCCTCCTTCCTCCTCCTCCTCCTCCTCCTCCTCCTCTCCTCCTCCTCCTCCTCCTCCTCCTCCTCCTCCTCCTCCTCCTCCTCCTCCTCTCCTCCTCCTCCTCCTCCTCCTCCTCCCCCCCCTCTGCCTCTCCTCCTCCTGTTGCTCCTACTCCTGCCGCTCCTCCGCCAGTGTCCCCGTTTGGCTGGAGCTCCAGCCCACGGTTCCACGCGCGCCCTCGCCCTCCCCATCCCATTTTGGCTCTGTCCGCTGGGGAACGGCGGGACGGGCGAGGGGCGCGCCGAGGGCTCCAGCCATCACGCTCGGCAGGACAGCCCGCAGCTCTGAGCCCCGAAGAGAGGAGGCCGCGGCATGGGACTCCTCGGGGGCGGCGACGGGGGCGAATGGCCCAGGGGGAAGCAATACACGTATCCAGGGACGCCGATGGCCCATGCCTTCCACGAGGCTCTCGGGCGAATACGTGTAATGCCCGCCCCGGCGCTATTCGCCCCTATCGTCACCTCCGAACTCTGGTCTGCTCGACCCGTGGCTGGAAGCGCCCAGCCTTCGGGGCTCACGCAGATCTGCGTGCCCCGCCACCGGTGGGAGTCCGCTGGACACCTCACGGGCATCATGGTCCTCGGGGGCGGCGACGGGGGCGAATGGCCCAGGGGGAAGCAATACACGTATCCAGGGACGCCGATGGCCCATGCCTTCCACGAGGCTCTCGGGCGAATACGTGTAATGCCCGCCCCGGCGCTATTCGCCCCTATCGTCACCTCCGAACTCTGGTCTGCTCGACCCGTGGCTGGAAGCGCCCAGCCTTCGGGGCTCACGCAGATCTGCGTGCCCCGCCACCGGTGGGAGTCCGCTGGACACCTCACGGATCATGGTCAGGCCCATCATGATTTGCCCAGGATCCGTGTACTCGCCCTCCGGGTCTGGCCAGGGAAGGCGCAGGCAGCGATCCTGCCTCCCTCCTCGAGACTTGAAGCAAGTTTTCCCTGCGCCGCGTCGGCGCCTCCAGGCCCCAAAATTTGGCCCCTAGGCTCCAAGATTTGAATGCTGATGCCGAAGCAAATATCGGCGTCCGCACACCGTGCTGCGCCCGCATCTGAACAGTGAGATTCTTGGCCAGGGGGGCCGGGCAGACTTGCTTTGAGGTCGTGGGGCCCAGACTCCGGTGGCCGGCTGCCGTCCCCCGACGCCCGCCCCATTCCTGGGCGCCGCGACGTCCGCCCGACACCCCTTGCCGCACGGGCGCCGCCGCCTCCGGGCTGGCAGGCTGGGCCCGGCTGCCCTCTTTCTTGGCGGCGCGCACAAGGGGGTGAGGGGAGGGGGGAGGGCTTCTTAGAAGGAGGCTGCTTCTTAGAAGGCGCTGGCCTTACATCTACGGATAAGGCCCGCGCTTTCTGAGAAGCAGGGGTGCTTCTAAGAAGCCCTCCCCCCTCCCCTCACCACCCTCTGCGCGCGGCTGACTTTCCCTCCGCACCACTCGAGCGGCCCGACCCCCGCCGGGCCGCCGGCGCGGGCTCCCACGTGCAGCCGCGGGTGCCCCGCCCCCCCCCCCCCCCAGCGCCTGCCCCGCGGCTGCGCTCCCCGCGGCCGAAGGTCAGGAGGGTGCCTGCTCTAGGGGAACAAAAAGTGACATTTCCATAAAAACTCGGAGGTCGCACCAGGGGGTCCCAACGCCGATCCGAGAAATCTGCGCGGACTTCCGAGTTGTTATGTTTCTGCCACTTTTTGTGCCCCTATGCTCCTCCGCACCTGCCGCGCCCCTGGAGGGGATGCGATTGGGGCCCGCCACGACACCGCGCAGCCTGCGCGCCCACCGAGGCGAGGCCACCGCGCAGAGACGCTTGGCTCGCGGGTACCATGCCGCTCCGAAGTGCGCACCTGCAACAGACCCGAGTGCAAGATGGCTGGGACTTCCAGGAATTCTCAGGCCTTCCAGCATCACAGTAAGATGGCCACGCTTACAGCTCAGCGCTTCGGACACAAACACCGAGAACCTGGCCTTAGGTATCGGCACTCGCTCGAAGAAGTGCCTCCTTGAAACACCAGCACCCTACGGGCATGCAGTTCAGGCGAGAGCCCCGCTTCTGCATTGCATCCGTCTGGCGCGTAATCAAATATTCGAAAAGTTGGAATCATACAACTCAGCGAGGTGTCCAACGAGATCCCCGTTTTGAAGAAGGACCGCCCCCCCATCCTGAGAATTGATGCACTCGCTTACACTTGCGCCTAAGAACGTAGAGGAAGTCTGAAGCGAGAGACGAATTCACCATCCTTGCAGCTGCTAGTCATGCTGAAGTTCATGGTCTTTAGATTCGAAGAAGTCTCAAGCGATTCTCATGTTGAAATAGAGCCACCCTCCATCCTTGCAACTATTGCCCAAAATGTAAGCGAATGCGCGCGGGGCTGAAGCGAAAACCAAATGTTGAAAAGGAACCGCCCACACCAAGCCATCCAACCACACCACGTCACACAGCCACGCCACGTCATCCAGCCACAATACACTTTGAAACGAAGGCGCGCAAGGCTCAGGCGATAACTCCATGTTGAAAACAACCTGAGCTCAATCCCTGTAGATGCTGCAATCTCAAACCGAATATGCTCAACGCTCATGCGAGAGCTCCATATTGGAAACGACCTTCTCAGTCCGCATAACTGTTGCGAGATGCATAGCTTCAAGATCATAAATGTTGAAGACATGGCGAAACGTCCGACCCGCTCCACCGACACGTCTGGGGGCGCGCCGGGGAGGAGCTATCTATACGGAGGGAGGATGACGGCGACGACGACGACGACGAGCACGAGGAGTAAGGGAAGGAGAGAGCAGGAGCAGGAGGAGTGCCCCTGAGCTCCTCGGAGGCCGCCTTGCCCTCGGCGTCATCGCAGTACCACGCGCTCAGCCTGACCAGGCAATCTCTCGGCGGCCGCGCTCGCCAGCTTGCCCCCCCCCTGACGCCGGCCCCCTCCTTTTACTTGCACTGCCCCTCGGCTCCAAAAGAAAACCATTATACGATCGGAGTTCCCCACAGAAGGATGCTGAGGGCTTAGCGGGATCAACGGGGCACGGCAGCAGCACTAACAAACAAGACAGCCCAATGACATTCAAGTTCATGCATGGAGAGACAGACGAAGGCAAGGAGGGCAAGCAGTAGATCGTCCATACTCCCACTTCGAATGCATTTCAAACGCATCTGCGATTATGTAAGCCTCAGCCGTATGTTTATCTTCTCTGTGCTTCCCCCTCCTCCTCCTCCTCCTCCTCCCCCTCCTCCTCATGCAAACTGGAGGGGGGATGGCGAAGGAGTGCGAGGAGGAGGACTGAAGATGGAGAGGGAGTGGGACGAGGAGAACGAGAGGTAGGGAGGGATGGGAGGAACGAGCAATAATAGATGGGAGAGTATAAAGGCCTGCCGCGGTCCAACCAGGGCTCCCTGGAACTTGAACGGTACTGGGACCTGCGGCAAGAATGGGACGGGGGAACCTCCCTGAAGGGGAAACGTGTTATTCACGGAAATGGCACAGTGGGGACAGCGCCAACCCGGATAAAGAACACGAAGTTCGCATATCCCGCGCCGTCTAGCACGGCCTCCCCGGAGGCGGGGAAGCGGTACTCGGAAGGCCAAACAAAAAAAGTAAGGAAGGCCCGAACCTTGATGTACAACACGGTTTGCGGATCGGTGTCCCGAGCACTGGAGATCCGAAAACGGGAAGGAAGAGGCCCAACCCTGGAAAGGGAAGGGCCCAACCCTGGGAAGGGTGCCCGTAGCCCAACCCTGGAGAGGAAAAGGCCCAACCCTGGAAGCCCCCGCCCGAGCATAGGAAAGCACGGCAGATGGAGGAAGAGGAGGAAGAGGAAGACAGGAAGAGGAGACCCGTGCCCGGCACGGCGGATGACCCCGCCGCTCGGCGTGCCTCGCCGGCGTGGCCCAGGGTGTCCCCAGCTTCTCGCTCCATAAAAAGTCCACCTCCGATAAAGTCATCACGTCATCACCCCCCATAAGGTCCTCCCTTCTTGCAGCGTCATCACCCTAGCTGTTTTGGCCACGCGTTGTCAGGAGAATGGGACTTCCGGTCCATTTGGGGGCCCTGGGGTGGCCTCTGGGCCTCGTGGTGGGTGCCCTGAAGGCCGTGGGGGCCTCCTGGCCAGGGGCACCCTGGCAACACCTGACGGAGGGCCGAGCACCTGGTGGCCAGACCTGACGCAGGAAGCCATCGGGGGCGCAAAGCAAGGCCATCGGGGGCGGGGGCGGGCGGGGACGGCGCCTGAATTGCCCCACCCCACCCCCGCCGCAGGCGCGGCTCGGCGAGGCAGGCCTGGGTCCCAGGAGCTTGCCGCCCGCACCGCGCCAGCTAAGAGGGCGTGAGACTGGAGAGGAGGGAAGAAGGACGACGACGGCGGGGAGGGGAGGATCGAGATTTGAAGAGCTATCCTTCTCGAGCCTCGGGAGCCTCTGGCGGGCCTCTGGGTGCCCCCAGGGGGCCTCTGGGTGCCCCCCGGGGGCCAGTGCTGAGGCCCCTCCCCCTGTCTGAAGAGTGAACGCAACGCTGCGGCTAAGACTGGCCACCTTCGGGCCGTCCTGGGAGGACATGATGTGGCTGTCACACGCATCAGTTGCCTAGAACCCTGGCGAGGCCAAACGAAAAAATACACCAGCGATAAGAGTAGTAGTAGTAGTAGTAGTAGTAGTAGTAGTAGTAGTAGTAGTAGTAGTAGTAGTAGTAGTAGTAGTAGTACTAGTAGTAGTAGTAGTAGTAGTAGTAGTAGTAGTAGTAGTAGTAGTAGTAGTAGTAGTAGTAGTAGTAGTAGTAGTAGTAGTAGTAGTAGTAGTAGTAGTAGTAGTAGTAGTAGTAGTAGTAGTAGTAGTAGTAGTAGTAGTAGTAGTAGTAGTAGTAGTAGTAGTAGTAGTAGTAGTAGTATAGTAGTAGTAGTAGTAGTAGTAGTAGTAGTAGTAGTAGTAGTAGTAGAGTAGTAGTAGTAGAGGAGGAGGAGGAGGAGGAGGAGGAGGAGGAGGAGGAGGAGGAGGAGGAGGAGAGGGGGAGAAGGAGGAGGAGGAGGAACACAGAAATGAAGCAGGGGAGCATGGCAGCGTGTACATCCCTCAAGGGTCCGACCGGCGCTAGTGGACAGGGCCGAATGAAACAAGTTGGCCAGGACGGAGACGGTCGGGTGCAGGGCCGAACAAATGAGGTTTCGGAGAAACTCCCTGTAGTGGCCACGATACGTGTGAGGGGTGCGCCTCGATGGCCGAGGCCGAGGTCGCAGGCCGAGCCCGCCTGGTTTCCGTGGCGCCGCGAAACATGTCGCGACACGCGGGCGTTCGTGACTCCGCCCTGCGGCCGCATCGGGGCCCTGGAGGCCGGCGAAACACGGCATCGGCCCCGCAGGGGCGACGTGTGCGCTCAAACATATTAATCTCCTCCACCTCCTCCTCCTCCTCCTCCTCCTCCTCCTCCTCCTCCTCCTCCTCTCCTCCTCCTCCTCCTCCTCCTCCTCCTCCTCCTCCTCCTCCTACTACTCCTCTCCTCCTACTCCTTCCTACTCCTATCCTTATTCCTTATTGGAATATACTCCTACTCCCCCCTCAGGCCGGCCGATAGGGGCCACATCCGGGTGGTCCCATCCTAACCTGTAAAAAACAATACAAAATCAACATGTTTCTTATTTTTTCCTCTCGACATGGACGTCCTGTCGTCCACGGCGATAATCCATTGCAAAAAATACCACAAAGAGCACACGCGCGCGTTCATGTCAGAATCCTACCGAACACCGTGTGTTTGCAAGCATTTCAACATAAAAACATCAAAAACCCAATGCTTTTTCACAAAAATTGTACAAATTTCCTGCCCGGGCTCTCTTGCTGAAATCATAGGAAAACCATAGGAATCTTAAGAATTCGGTCAAATCCAGCGATTTCACGTCATCGCGCGGTGCACTCGCGATGCTCTGTCATGCACCCAGGCCGCGAATCCTGTGCAAAAAATACCACGCGGGCGACATGCGCGCGCGTCGCCGCGAGCGCATGCTCAAATCCTTCTAGAGTCGTCGCCGTCATTGGCACCGTCGCATGGACGTCCTGTCGTCCACGTCGCAAAATGCATGGCAGGAATGGGACGCGGCGCACACCCCGCGCCCGCCCATCCAATCCGTCCCATTCTAATCTGCAAAAGACAATACACAGTTTTGTTTTTCTTGTCAACATGGTCGTGCTGTCGTCACATCGCAAAATGCGTGGCAGGAATGGGACGCGGCGCACACCCCGCGCGAAGGGGTGACATGGTACTACTACTACTACACCACTACCACTACCAACACCACTACCACTGGTACTACTACTCCTGCCTCTTGGGGCCTCCTGGGCCCCCTTGGGGTGTCCTGTCAGACCGTCGGGCTTCCTCCGGCCACCTCTGGCTTCCTGCGGTGTACCGGGCCATTCTCGACTCGTCTGGCAATGCGTGCGCGGCATTCAACACGCGCTCGCCAGTTCCCGTCGGCAACCGCCATCGCGGCCGCATCAGCTGTACCAAACCGGCTGGCCGGTGTGACTTCGGCCCCCAGTTGTGCCAGCTTTGCTTCTTACGTTGTGGGAGGGCGGGTGGGACTGGGCATGCCATGCTTGACTCGCTCGAGCTGGCTAGCTTGACTCCTACTCCTACTCCTACTCCTACTCCTCCTCCATGTACGGTAAAATGGGCTCGGTGGCGGGCGCTTCCTGGCGATACCGGTCGGGCAACGACGAGCTGTTATGAACCTGGATGTGCTACGTTTCCGGGTCGGACGTGTGCCTCCAAGGGGGGCCCATTGTACTAGAACGCCCTCCTGCATTCCACGGCAAGCGGCGCAAAACCAGTCCCGGGGACCCTCGCTTCGCCTCTTCGCCGTCCCCTCCCCTGTCTCTGGAGGCCTGCGAGGCCCTGGTGAGCCGCGAGTTGGCGACGGAGGCGTTAAGGCCGTCATGTCGAAGACGTCGTTGTCATCGTCGTCGAACGAGGATGAAGACAGCCTGCCGCGATACTGCATCATGTTTCTGAGGGTGGGACTGAAGAATAATAGCAATACTAATAACATGAATCATCAATAGTGGCAGCAACAACAACAACAACAACACTGATACTATCAATATTGGCAACACTAATAACGACATGCAAACGTATCATTACTAGTAGTATTAATAGTTGCGACAAACAAACATATTATTAGTCGCCGTAATAAGAAAAAGGAGAAGAAAACGAATCATAATAATACGAAGAAGAAGACCGCGAAACAGCAGATGAGGTCGCACGTGTGCAGGGTGGGCGCCCAGGCGACATCACTGTCTCATCGACGATAAATCGTGACATCCCCAGTGCCGAGCCGTGTTCTGGGATCACCCACTCCAACCGAACACGGACAGCAACCACGCTGCTGCACCATGGCCTCTCTCGTCACCACTGAACTTGCCTGGGTGAGCGAAGACATGTGTACACGTGCGGCCTCCGCGGTCCAGCATGCACGAAAGACCGCGCTCACACGCAGGCCAACGGAAACTAAATGCGTACGTGTACATATCATGCGCCCGGGCGTCAGTGATCGACGCTGGCGCTGCTCGCAATGGCAAGCGGACAACACGAAGGTTTCGGCGCCCTTCCGGGCCCCAGATCTGAACGCCGACCGCAGCAGTTCAATAGGAACGGGATAGGCCGACATTTCGGCCAGCGCCCACAGGTTCTCGGTCTCGGACGTTTCTTTCCATTTCCCTGCGCCATTTGGAGCGGAGAAAGCAGCCCGATGACGAGCCAGGCGACGCAATCGTGAAACCATCGAGCTGGCTCAAACGCCGTGCCCACGAGCGGAGACCGGTGCGGCAGTTCGCGGAACCCCTCCTGGATTCTTCCTGAGAAAAGTTTTGGAAGGTTTTTGGAAGGTCTTTCCCGGGCTCCAGGGGGGAGAAGGGGGAGCGAGGAAGGTTTTTGGAAGGTTTTTCCAAAAGCCTCCCAGAAACCTGCGAAAGAAACCTTTCAAAAACCTTCCAACAAACTTCCAAAAACCTTCCAACATTCCTCAAAAAAAACCTTCCAAAATTTAGCGCGATCGCCCAATACATTCCAAAAGCCTTCAAAAGGCCTGCCAAAAACCTGCGAAAAAAAACCTTCCAAAAACCGTCCACCAAACCTTCCAAAAACCCCCCAAACACTTTCCAAAAACCGACCAAAAACCTTCAACATTCCAGAAAACTTCCGCAAACAAAACGTTCAAAACCCTTCCACTAAGCTTCCAAAAACCTTCCAAATACCTTCCAAAAACCGTTCAAAAACGTTAAATCTTCCAAGGGCCTTCCGAAAACCTTCCAGAAACCTTTTACAAAACCTTCCAAAAACCTTCCCGAGGAAGGTTGTCGGCAGGCTGTCAGAAGGTTCTTCCAAAAAAAACCTCCTGAGGAAGGTTTCGGAAGGTTTAAGAAAGGAACTTTCAAACAAACAAGCAAAAAACTCATGAGGAAGGTTTTTGGGAGGTTTGAAAAAAGGCTCTTCAAACAAAAACCCTTCTAAGGGAGGTGTTTGAAAGGTTTTAGGAAGGTTTTTCCAAAAAAAAGCCTTCATGGTGTTTGGGAAGCTTTATGAAGGCCCTCTGGCCGTGGACCTCCTGGCTCTGGCCGGGGCTGAGGCCAGAGGTCCAGGGCTGGGCCCGGGGCCAGAGCTCGGCCCGGGGCCCGGACCGGGGCCGAGGCCGGGACCGGTTTCGGCCCCGGCTCGGGTGCCGGCTTTTTTGGGGAGGACCTTCTGAAAAACCTTCCAAAGACCTTCCTCAGGAGGGTTTTTTGGAAGACCCGTTTGAAAACCTTCCAAAAAACCTTCCTCGGGAAGGCTTGTTGGACAAACCTTCGTAAAACCTTCCGAAGACTTTCCTCAGGAAGGTTTTTTTGTTGGAAGAACCTTCCTAAAACCTTCCAACAACCTTCGAAGAACCTTCCTGAAACCTTCGAAAGAACCTTCCTCAGGAGGGCTGTTTAGAAGAACCTTCCCAAAATCTTCCAGAAACTTCCTCAGGAGGGTGTTTGTGGACGAATCTTCTTAAAGCCTTCCAAAAAAACCTTCCTGAGGAGGGCTCTTTGGGAGAATATTCCAAAAACCTTCCAAAAACATTCCTCAGGAGGGCTTCTTGGAAGAACCTTCCTAAAACCTTCCAAAAAAACCTTCCTCAGGAGGGCTGTGTTTGAAGACCCTTCTTAAACCCTTCCCAAAAACGTTCCTCGGGAGGGCTTGTGTTGGAGAACCTTCCTAAAACCCTCTAAAAACCTTCCTCAGGAGGGTATGTTGTTGGAAGAACCTTCCTAAAACTGTTTTTTTAAAAACCTTCCTCGGATCGTTTTGTTCTCTGAAGAACCTTCCTAAAACCTTCCAAACACCTTCCTCTGGAGGGGTTTTGTTTGGAAGAGCCTTCCTAAAACCTTCCGAAAACCTTCCCCAGGAGGGTTTGTGTTTGGAAGAGCCTTCCTAAAACCCTCCAAAAACCTTCTTCAGGAGGGCTTGTTGGAAGAACCTTCCCAAAACCGTCCAAAAACCTTCCTCGGGAGGGCGTTTTGGAAGAACCTTCCTAAAACCTTTCGAAAACCTTCCTCTGGAAGGTGTTTGGGAATAACCTTCCTAAAACCTTCGAAAACCTTCCTCAGGAAGGGTTTTTGTTTGAAGAATCTTCCTAAAACCTGCTAAACAACTTCCTCGGGAGGGCTGTTTTTGGGGAAGAACCTTCCTAAAACCTTCCAAAAACTTTCCTCAGGATGGTTTCTTGGAATGACCTTCGTAAAACCTTCCCGAAAACTCTCTCAGGAGGGTCCTTTGGAAGAACCTTTCTGGAAACCTTCCAAAAACCTTCTTCTAGAGGGCTTTTTGGAAGAACCTTCCTAAAACCTTCCAAAAAAATTCCTCCGGAGAGCTTTTTGGAAGAACCTTTCGAGAAACCTTCCAGACCTTTCTAAAACCTTCTAGAACCTTCCTCACGAGGGTGTCAGGAGGGGGTGGTCGAACTGCCGCGCCCAACTGCACGAGCGGGATTGAAGCGTCAAGCCACGCAGAGCGGCTGTCCTATGAGCGACGGTTGGTATACACGCTCACTTCGCGGCAGCAGGCTACTGCAGATACGCGTCGTGTCGACCGGCGGCGACCCCGCAGCCGGAGCTCAACGTTGAACTCCGCCGGCGACCCAGAATCGGTCGATGTTGAAGGATCTGACGTTTCGGAAACGGCCGATCCTTCACAGTTGAACGGCGATCCCCGCGGTGTCGGGAGCCGACGCCGGGGTCGCCACGACGCGAACCCGCCGCAATCCTGCTGTTGGCCTCTGCCGTGCCCCCCGCCCGGGTTACACAGCTCGGCGCTCCGCGCCGAGGCAAGGCAAGGCCGCCCCCGCGAGCGCGAGCGCCGCCCACCGCACGAGAAAGGGCAGCCCCTCCGGGCCCAGGCCGCGGGGAGCGCGGCGCGCCGCTCGTCCCCGATCTCGCCCCTGCTCGCAGGGCCCCGCCGGGAGGAGTGCCCCCGGGTGGGTGTCCCGACGCCGGATCCGCCGTGCTCTGGTGGACTGCCCGACGTCCAAGCGATGCGAAGGAGTGCGGGGCGGAAGCTTCCACCCCGAAGAGGTGGGGCGGGGATGGCCGCAAAAGGGACGGCGGGCACAGCGGCGGCAGAGTGGGGCGGAAAGTCGGCATCGGAGGAGCCCGAAAGATGAGGCAGGACAAGCATGCCTGCCCCTCCTGCGACATCGCCCAGAAAGTACGGCGGACGCTGGGGAAGCTCAGAGGGCGAGCGGCTCCGCGCCGCCCTGCGGGTGGCCTCGGACAGCGGCGGCCTCGGAAGGGGGCCCCGGGGGCGGAGGCCGGAAGCGGGGAGTTCCGGGAGCGTGCGCGCGGGCCAGCGGAGGAGTGCGCCGAGGGCGTGCGAGCGCGGGCGGCGGGGCAAGCGGTGTGCCGAGGACGCGCGTATGGGCGAGGACACGCACGCGGGCGAGGGCGGCGCAGGGCGGCGCCGCAGCAGCAGCGTGCCAGAGGGGGGGGTGCGCGGGCGGGGTCAGGGGGCGAATCGCCCCCCTGCGATTTTCATGTTTTGTTTGTCCGTATGGTGGCTCGTGCAGGAGAGTTGTTGGCTGATGCGCGTGCTGCCTCCGACCAAACGAAATACCTGAACACGAGCGTCCTCCATGTCCTCGCGACGATGCAATAACTTTTTCGTGGGGAGGAATGAGGGGGCCAGCACAATAGGGTCATACCCAGACTCTGACTAGACCTCGCCATCCTTTGGGGGCTGAGAAATGCAAAACTGTCGCCAGTTCCGAAGTCTGCTGGAGGGGTGCCACACCCAGACTCCGAGTAGACGTCATTATTGGGAGGCTGCGATGTACGAAATCGTCGCCACTCTCAACGGCCGCTGGGGGGCCAGCACAATAGGGTCATACCCAGACTCAATTTAGACCTCGCCATCATTGGGGGGGTGCGATCTGCGACACACTCGCCACGTTCAACGAGTGCAGGGGGGGCACTACTAGACCTCGCCATCCCTGGGGGGCTGCGATCTGCGAAGTTTTCGCAACTTTCGAAGGCACCCCTGGGGGGGGTGCAGCACAGTGGATATTTAACCTGACTCAGATTCGACTTCTGAATCTTTGGGGAGGCTGCGATCAGCGACGCTGCCGCCACTTTCGATGCCTGTTTGGGGGGCCATCACGGTGGGGGCACTACCCAGACTCAGATTCGTCCTCGCCATCCCGGGGGGGGGGTGTCTGCGCTCTGCGAAACTGCCACCGATTTCGGAGGCTGCGGGGAGGGGCAGCACAGTGAGGTCATACGTGGACTCGGAATAGACCTCGCCATCCCTGGAGGGCTACGAAATTCGACGTAGTCGCCATTGTCAAGAACAACTGAGTGGCCAGAGCAGTGGCGTCTTATCCAGACTCAGACTAGACCTCGCCATCCTTGGGGGGCTGCGATCTGCGAAACTGCCGCCACTCTCGAAAGCATCTTTGGGGGCCCAAGCTTAGTGGGTTTTACGCAAACTCAGACCAGACCTCACTATCCCTGTGGGGATGCGATCTGCGAATATGCCGCCACCTTCGACGGTTACTGGGGGGCCAAACAGAGCGACATTTTACGCAGACTCAGATTAGACCTCGCGACCCCTGTGGGGCTGCAAAATGTGACACTTCTGCAAATTTCGACGGCTACTGGGGTGGCCCGCGCAACGGGGTCATACACAGACTCAGATGAGACGTCGCCCTCCCTGGAAGGGGGGGGGGCTGCGCTCTGCAAAACTGTCGCTATGTTCGGAAGCTGCTGCGAGGGGGGGGGCAGCAAGGTGACGTCCTACGCAGACTCAGTCTAGGCTTCACCACTCCTGCGGGGCTAGGGACTGCGAAACTGTATCACTTCCGAGGGCTACTGGGGGGTCAGCATACTGCGGTCATACCCAGACTCAGACTAGTAGACGTCACCATCCCTCTGGGGCTGCGATTTGCGAAACAGTCGCCAATTTGAAGGTCGCTTTCTGCTGCACCGCTGACCTTGTCGGCAGGCTTTCTGCCGTCTCCCCCTAGTTGCCGCCCGTTTCCCCGTCGAGCGTGGGGCCTCTGCACCTCCATCGAGCCCTTGTCCATCGATCGGTGCCGTGCGAGTCGCGCAGCTCGCGAGCCTCCCAAGAAACGCTCGCAGAATATATACCCCCTTGCAACGCTATCACCCCCTATAAAGTCTACCCAGCTCTCCTGGCCACACGTTGCGCAAGGGATCGCAAGGGTTGGGTACATCGTCGGAACATGTTTCTAAAAAGAGCGAAGAAGACCAAGAGGCCAAAGCACAATCACACGACGAACCTCCCACTCGTCAGCGTGAA